AAGAGGGCTTTTGCAGCAGATTTGTCCAATGCAATGTGTCATTTGATTTCTTGACTGACTGCAGCCAAGAAAGCTCTATGTCAAAGTTCTACCCTAACGCATGGGGTCGCCATGAGTCAGAATCAACTCAATGGGGAAAGACAACAGCAACAACCTGGCATCTAAACTTGAGTATTTCATAGGCATCTTAAACATAGCGTGGTCAGAACTGAACTCTTGCTAGGGAAAGCCTAGCAAAGACAATGTTTCAAAGGCGAGGGATGGATCACATTAGGCTAAATTTCCTTATCTTCATCTCATTTCCACTTTAACAAATAAAATACAACATTCTCTATGCCTGAGCAACCCAGCTCTGCTGTTGTTGTTGTTGTTGATTCTGACTCATAGCCATCCCACGTGACAGAGTAGAACCGCCCCATAGGGTTTCCTAGACTGTGATCTTTATGGGAGCAGATTGCCAGGTCTTTCTCCTGAGAAGCCACTGAGTGGACTCAAACCACCGATCTTTCAGTTAGCAGCTGGAGTGCTTAACCATTGTTGCTTCCAGGGCTCCTTAACCTAGAGCTGAATAAAAAAATTTCATCGCCATCGAGCAGATTCTGACTCATAACAACCCTACAGGATGAGTAGAACTGCCCCATAGGGTTTCCAAGTAGCAGCTGTTGGATTTGAACTGCCAACCTTTTGGTTAGAAGCCGATCTCTTAACTACTACACTATCAGGGCTCCAGCACTAGCACACCAATATACCTGTCCCTGGGTACCTACCAAGATAATGACGGCGACTGGCCCCGTGAAGCTCCAGATAAAGCCTTTATCAAGCTTCAGCCAGCAACTGTTGAGAGAGAGAAGGAAAAGCATTAGCCGCCTATTCCTTGGGAGAAGGAGACCAGTTACCAGTTGTCATCAAGTCAATTTCATGTAGCCTTGTACGTTAAACAGTCTGGGTTCAGATCCCAACATCCCTCCCACCCACTAGTTAGGCGAATTACCCAAACTTTGGTGCTGCAGCTGAATAAGTTGACCTGCTGCTGGTGATAATACTAATGTGCCCTGTTGAGATGAGAACTGAATGAGCCAACAGACATTGTTATTAGGTGCTGTCAAGTTGGCTCGGACTCACAGCGACCTCATAACGTACAACAGAAAGAAATGTTGCCAGTCCTGTGTCATCCTCACAATTGTTGTTTTGTTTGAACCCATTGTTGCAGCCACTGTGTCAATTCATTTTGTTGAGGGTCTTCCTCTTTTTCGCTGGCCCTCTCCTTTTGCCAGCATGATGTCCTTCTCCAGGGACTAGTCCCTCCTGATAACATGTCCAAAGTACATGAGATGAAGTCTTGCCATTCTTGCTTCTAAGAAGCATTCTGGCTGTACTTCTTTCAAGACAGATTTGCTCATTCTTTTGTCAGTCCATGATACATTCAATATTCTTTGCAAAAACCACATTTCAAAAGCAAAGATGCCACTTCAATGACTAAGGTGCACCTGACCCAAGCCATGGTCTTTTCAAGCGCCTCTTATGCATGTGAAAGCAATAGACATCAAGCCCTTCAAATAGTGCCTAACACACAGTAAGCACTTACAACCATTAGATATCATTACTATCTGGACTTGACCACCATATATATATATATATAATATAAAGATATAGTGTTTTCATAGGCAAGTTCAAGTTGAAGCTGAAGAAAATTAGAACAAGTCCACGAGAGCCAAAGTACAATCTTGAGTATATTCGACCTGAATATAGAGACCATCTCAAGAACAGATTTGACGCACGGAACACTAATAACTGAAGACCAGATGAGTTGTGGAATGACATTAAGGACATCATAGATGAAGAAAGCAAGAGGTCATCAAAAAGATAGGAAACAAACAGAAGACCAAAATAGATGTCAGAAGAAACTCTGACACTTGCTCTTGAACGTACGGTAGCTAAAGTGAAAGGAAGAAACGATGAAGTAAAAGAGCTGAACAAAAGATTTCAAAGGGTGACTTGAGAAGATAAAGTGAAGTATTATAATGAAATGTGCAAAGACCTGGAGATAAAAAACCAGAAGGAAAGAATATTCCGGCATGTCTCAAGGGAAAAGACCTGAAGAAAAAGCTCAAGCCTCAAGTTGCAATACTAAAGGATTCTACAAAATATTAAATGACGCAGGAAACATCAAAAGAAGATGGAAGGAATATAGAGAGTCACTGTACCAAAAAGAATTGGTGGACATTCAATCATCTCAGGACATAGCATATGATAAAGAAACAACACTACTGAAGGAAGAGGTCCAAGCTACACTTAAGGCATTTGGTGAAAAACAAGGCTGCAGGAATTGAAGGAATACCAACTGAGATGTTTCAACAAACTGATGTAGCGCTGGAAGCACTCACTAGTCTACCCCAAGAAATTTGGAAGACAGCTACCTGGCCTACCAACTGGAAGAGATCCATATATGTACTCATTCAAAAGAAAGGTGATCCAACAAAATGGGGAAGTTATCAAACAACTTCATTAATATCACACACAAGTAAAATTTTGCTGAAGATCATTCAAAAACATTTGCAGCAGTGCATCATCAGGGAACTGCCAGAAATTCAAGTTGGATTCAGGAGAGGACATGGAACAAGGATATCATTGCTGATGTTAGATGGATCCTGGCTGAAAGCAGAGAATACTGGAAAGATGTTTACCTGTGTTTTATTAACTATGCAAAGGCATTTGACTGTTTGTATCATAAGAAATGATGGATAACATTGTGAAGAATGGGAATTCCGGAGCACTTACTTGTGGTCATGTAGAACCTGTACTTAGACCAAGAGGCAGTCATTGGAATAGAACAAGGGGATACTGCATGACTAAAGTTAAAGGTGTGCATCAGTGTTACATCCTTTCACCATACTTATTCAATCTGTATGTTGAGCAAATAATCCAAGAAGCTGAACTATATGAAGAAGAATGTGGCATTGGGATTGGAGGAAGACTCATTAACAACATGCAATATGCAGATGACACAACCTTGCTTGCTGAAAGTGAAGAGGACTTGAAGCACTTACTGATGAAGATCAAAGACCACAGCCTTAAGTACGGATTACATCTCAACATAAAACAAAAATCCTCACAACTGGACCAATAAGCAACATCATGACAAATGGAAAAAATATTGATGTTGTGAAGAATTTCATTTTACTTGGATTCATAATCAATGTCCATGGAAGCAGCAGTCAAGAAATCAAATGACACATTGCACTGGGCAAATCTCCTGCAGAAGACCTCTTTAAAGTGTTAAAAAGCAAAGATGTCACTTTAAGGACTAAGGTGTGCCTGAGAATCCAAGCCATGGTGTTTTCAATCGCCTCATATGCTTGTGAAAGCTGGACAATGAATAAGAAGGACTGAAGAAGAATTGATGCCTTTGAATTATGGTGTTGATGAAGAACATTGAATATATCATGGACTGCCAGAAGAACAAACAAATCTGTCTTGAAAGAAGTACAGCCAGACTGGTCATTAGAAGCAAGAATGGTGAGACTTCATCTCACATGCTTTGGACACGTTATCAAGAGGGACTGGTCTCTGGAGAAGGACATCATGCTTGGTAAAGTAGAGGGTCAGCGAAAAAGAGAAAGACCCTCAACGAGATGGAGCGACACAGTGGCTACAACCACGGGCTCAAGCATAACAACAATTGTGAGGATGGCACAGGACTGGGCCATGTTTCGTTCTGTTGTACATTGGGTCGCTATAAATTGGAACAGCCTGGATGGCATCTAACAGCAACAGCAACATAGAGACCAAATTTTACTAGTGGTTACCAGGGGAGAGAGGGTGGGTGGGAGACAGAGTCATTGCTTAGAATACCCTGAGCTTGTCTTAAGGATGATGGAAATTTTTGGAAATGGATAGTGGTGATGAACATAATTAATGTCACTGAATTTACATGTAAAAAAGGTTGTAATGTCAAAGGTTTTGTTTTATGTACATATATATAGTATGTTTGCAGTGGATTAATTACTTTTATGTGTGGCCTGTCTAGCCATGGTCTTGCACTTCCCACCCAGGTGACTGGGCAGGACTGTGTGATAGGGTAATTGTGGCTTACCAAGGGGATTGGTCAGTTTTGCCTTGAAAAAGAGCCAATTCCAGAGCAGAGAGGAGGAGCCTACCACCACCAAGGAAGCGGAGACCAGCAGGACAGACCCTGCAGCAGAGATCTGGCAGTAGGATAAAGTGCTGAGTGCCTTTGAGGAGAGTCCTAGGGCCAGGGAGAGGTGTGCCTGGGAGCATACTGGGGAGAGGCTGTCCTGATGGAAGAACTGCCCTGAGCCTGAATTATAAATGTTATTTCCCTAATAAATCCCATAATCATGAGTGTAGTCTGTGAGCTCTTTGTAGCTATTGCAAAGAATAATCAAATCCAACAGAGAAGGAGAGAGTGCCGTGGGAGGGACGGTTGGTGTAAGAATTGGTAAAGATGGCAGAGAGAGAAAGCATGTCTGACCCCTGCCTCATGGGAATCAGACTTGGGCTGTTGATCTTGGTTCTCTTTTCCCCTTGTGAAGTTAGAGGAAGTCAGACACTCCCCCCACTCCATTTTAAAAATGTTGTATTTACATTTTATATTTATATATTATATATGTATATTCAGTGTTTTGTTCTGTTGTACACAGGGTTGCTATGAGTCAGAACCGACTCTATGGCACCTAACAACGACAATATATTCTTTACATTAAAAGTAAAAGTAGTTATTATAAAGATGATTCTTATAATGAGACAAATAGCAATAACAACAATTTAAGTACAGCCATATAAACAATCAACACTAATTAAGCATATACTATGTGCCAAGTACTGTGTTTCCCAAACACTTCGTATGGCTTATGTTGGCAAAAGTAGCATAACTTATTCTGAAAGTGGACCTGACAGTATGAATCTGGTAAAAGTAACAGTTAAACAATCCTCAACCCTCAGAGGGCAGAGAAGCTCTCAGGTGTATGTTCTATTCCAGGGTTTGCAAACTATGACCCGTAGGCCAAATCCAGGACATTGCTAGTTTTTGTAAATAAAGTTTTATTGGCACACGACCACACCCATGCACTCACATATTGTCTGTGGCTGCTTTCACACTACACTGGCTGAGTTGAGTACTTGCAACAGAGACTACATGTCCTGCAAAGCTGAAAACACCTACCATCTGGCCCTTCTCAGAAAAAGTTTGCCAATTCCTGATCTACCCTACTATTATATCTGCCAAATCGTTCTGGTACACAGGGTTCAATCTCAAGACAGGGCAACTCTTTTGGCTTCAAGGGCAGCACCATACATGTCGTTTTAGCACATGCACACCTACTTCATAACCCAAACTCTGCTGCCAAAATATTAACTTCTTCAACTAACTTATATACAAAGCTTTTCAAACTTCTTTCTTGTTGTTGTTAGATGTCATCAGTGAGACAGAGAGAGAGAGAGAGTGTTACCTTTGAGTTGATTCCAACTCATAGCAACCTATACGATGAGTAGAACTGCCCCCTAGGGTTTCCAAGGAGTGACTGGTGGATTCGAACTGCTGACCTTTTGGTTAGCAGCCGAACACTTAACCACTGCGCCACCAGGGCTCTAATTCATGGCAACCCCATGTACAGCAGAAGAAAACGTCGCTCGGTTCTGTGCTGTCTTCATGATCACTGGGATTTTTTAAATTTTTTTATGGTACTTTAGATGAAGTTCTACAGAGCAAACTAGCTTCTCATTAAACAATATACATATTGTTTTGTGACACTGGTTGCCAACCCCATGACGTGCATGATCGGTGGTATGTTTGAGTCCATTGTTGCAGCTACTGTGTATTTTGAATGTCTTCCAGCCTAGGAGGCTCATATTTCAGCACTATATCAAACACTGTTCTGTTGTGATCCATAGGGTTTTCATTGGCTAATTTTTAGAGGTAGATTGCCAGACCTTTCTTCCTGGTCTGTCCTTAGTCTGGAAGCTCTGCTAAACCAGTCTGCCATGGATGACCCTGCTGGTATTTGAAATACCAGCAGCATAGCTTCCAGCAACACGCGAGCCACCACAGTATCACAAACTGGCAGTGGTGGAGGAACTTCTTCAGAGAGGCAGTAAGACCTGGCTATTAAGAGCACTACTTTGGGAATGCCAACTTCCTCTTTTTTTTAGCTTCGACCTTGGGGAAGTTTATTAAAGGGACTGAATCCTGTGCCAATTTTGTAAGATCATGGGAGCATGAGATGAGATACTGCATACGTGAAGCACTGTCCCTGGTGCACTGGAAGTTTTCTGTAGTTTTTACTATTACTGTTATTGTTTACATTTATGAGGTCAACCGCAATTTATTCACCCTACTCTTTCACAATCATACAGACCATGTACCTCACAGGTTCTTAATGTTGTGACATAGATTTGCTTTACCTGTCTCCGAATTGCCTAGAATTGTGTTCAAAATTTTGTACATACATATATTTGGCTACTAATCTAAAGATTGGCTGTTTGAACCGGCTTCGCTGTGCCATGGAAGAAAGGCCTGGCTATTTGCTTCCGTAAAGATTGTTGTTGTTGCTGCTGGGTACTGTGGAGTTAATTCCAACTCATAGCGACCACATATGAAGGAGTAGAACTGCTCCATAGTGTTTTCTAGGCTGTAATCTTTATGGGAGAAGATCACTAGGTCTGTCTCCTGCAGAGCCATTGGATGGGTTTGAACCACCAACCTGTCAATTAGCATCCAAGTCCTTAATGGATGTGCCACCACAGATCCTTTCTGTAAAGATTACAGCCAAGAAAAGCTTGTGGTGCTCAGTTCTACTCTATAACACAGGAGGTTGTCATGAGTCAGAATCACCTCAATGGCATTTGGTTTGGGTTTTGTATTTGTTTATGTGTTTACATTTGTCTGGAGAAAGAGGCTCTTGCTTTCACTGAATTATCAAAGGGATCCAACTCCAAATGTGCTGAGTACCACTGCTCTAGGGATTTCTAAGAGAACGCTGAATTCAGGCTTAAGGAAGGACTGGTTTGAAATATAATCAATAATTGGAAAATGGATTAAAAATTTTTTTATTTCAGATCATATAATAGTTAAGTGCTTGGTTACTAACCAAAAAGTGTGTGATTCAAACCTACCCAGCAGTGCTGCAGAAGAAAGGCCTAGCAATCTGCTTCTGTAAAGATTACAGCCAAGAAAATCCTATGGAGCAGTTCTACTCTGTAGCACATGCGGTCACCAAGAGTCACAAAGACTTGACGGCAACCAGTTTGGTTTTGGTTTCTTTCTATGGACACATTCCCACCATAAACACACATCATACTTACTGAGTATTTGTTCCGTAATTTTTGTGTCCAGCGCCTGCTGACACAGCCACAATCACAGCTGGGATCCCATAGCCAAAAGGGTACATGAACCTCTTCTTGAATCTGCCTGCACTGGTGTAGTTGGCCACCTTGAGGTTCCTGACGGTGAGGAAGAGATGCAGGCCTTCCAGGAACATCCACGTGAAGGAGGCCAGGTAGAGGTAGTGCAGTGCCCCAGCGATGACGGAGCACAGCGCCTGGAGGAGGGGAGAGTTGAGAGTGTGGATCAGATACTAAGTGCTCAGCTGTTAACTGAAAGGTAGGTGATTCAATCCAGGAGAAAAATGTGGCAGTCTGCTTCCATAAAGACCACAGCCTTGGAAACCCTATGGGGCAGTCCTACCCTGTCCCATAGGGTCACTGTGAGTTGGAATCGACTCGATGGCAGTGGGTATTCTTAGCATTCATCCCAAAGGTAGAGAGACCAACGCTTGTTAGTGGTTTCCAGGGGCAGGTGGGAGGGAGGGAGGGAGACAGGAGGACTCAAGGCTTAGGGGACACTGAGCTTCCATTAAGGGTGAAGGAATAATCTGGAACAAGGTTATGTAACAAGTAAGATGAAGAGCTCGACTCTGACACACAGTGGGTCACTGTGAATCAGAATGTAGTCTATGGCAACCATTATTTTTTAAGGTGAAGAGTTGAGATTCAAACGCAGGTAACTGTGGCAAAGCCACACTCCATAAATAAAATTCAAGCCTACCCTTACTCCGGAGAGGGTATTGGTGGGTCAGTGGTAGAATTCTTGCCTTCTATGCGGGAGACTTGGGTTCGATTCGCGGTCAATGCACCTAATGCACAGCCATCACCATCTATCAGTGGAGGCTTGCATGTTGCTATGAAGCTGAGCAGGTTTCAGCAGAGCTTCCAGACTAAGACGGCCTAGGAATAAAGGCCTGGCTATTGATTTTCAAAAATCAGCCAATGAAAACCCTATGGATCAAAATGGTCCAATTAGCAACTGATTACAGGAATGGCTCAGGACTGGGAAGTGTTTGTTCTGTTGTGCATGGGGTTGCCATGGTTGGGGGCCAACTGGACAGCAGCTTACAACAACAAAAACAACAACCCTCCATTCCAGACTATAGGGTTGTCACTAGGAAGTAGCTGCCCAGCCAGGGACTATATTTCCCAGCCTCCCTTGCATTTAGGTGTGACCATGTGACTGAGTTCTAGCCAATAGAATATGAGAAGGAAGCCCATATAAACCATCCTCATGGGACTCTGCCATGCTTTTTTCCCCTTCCACTTGGCCCAAATGGAAAGGACCCTGGGAAGCTATATATGGAATATGGAAGAGCTTCTATTAGCCTGAAGGTGGAGGATAGACACCCTGCAAAACTGTTGCCCCCTTCCCCCACTTCTAGTGAAGAATTAACTACCATTGTGCTAAGGGGAGTCCCTGATAGGCAAATGATTGAGCTCTTGGCTACTAACCAAAAGGTTAGTGGTCCAAATCCACCCATAGGTGCCTCAGAAGAAAGTCTTGGTGATGTACTTCCGTAAGATCACAGCTGTTGAAAATCCTATGGAGCACAATCCTATGGAGCAATGGGGCTGCCGTATGTCAGAATCAACCTGATGGCAACTGGTTTGATTTTATTGTGCTAAGCCACTGACATTTTGGAGTTTATTTGTTATAGCAGCTCATGTTACCCTATCTAATACCATCAGTCTGACTCTCAGTCACTTCGCTAAATGGCCTCTCAGAAAGTGTGGGTCTTGTTCAAAGTTAAACAGAGGTGAAATGGGAACCCCTGCTTTTCCTCCTACACCCTCACTGCTGATTCTTGCCTCTCTCCCCATATCTTTTCTCATAACAAGTTGGTGAGATTTGATTATGATAAGGAAGTTATTTGGCTGAAAAACCTACCTTAGGCTTAGTTTGATTAATCCCCACGAGGAAGAGCAGGTGGGCCAGGAACAGGCAGAGCGAGAGCTGCAGGTGGAGTGAGGTGCTGGTGTTCTGGATGGGCTGGCACAGGAGGAAGGTGACGGCTGCCAGGAGGAGGCACAGCAAAGAGAGGCTCAGCCCCACGTAGGTGATCACAGTCAGCACCAGATCTGCCTGTGAACCATGAAAGGAGGAATCCATTACATTTCTCAACTCAGCAGTTGCGGCTCTGATGGCACGTCAGATGGGGTTCCCAGCTTAAAGTTCTCTCAAGCCAGTTATTTAACCTCTCTGAGACCTGGTTTTCCCATCTTCAAAACGAAGGCAATAATGCTGGTGCAACGGTTAAGCGCTTGGCTGTTAATCATGAAGGCTGGTTGGTTAAACTCATCCTTCTTCTCAGCAAGAGAAAGACCTGGTGATCTGCTTTGGTAAAGATTACAGTCTAGAAATCCTATGGGGGCAGTTCTGCTCTGTCACATGGGGTCGCTATGACTGGAAATCGACTTGATGGCGCCTAACGACAACAACATGAGGCTGTTGAGAAACTGACACCGCGAGAACGGAGCTGTCCGATAGAGACATCACGTCAACCGCATATGTAGATTACATTCTTAAGTAACCCCATTAACTACAAAGCAACAGGTAAAATTAATGTCATGCTATATTTTATTTGACCTAATATGTTCAAAATATTATCAGGTCAAAACCTGCACACTGATGTTCACGGCAGCACTGTTCACACCAGCCAAAAGGTAGACACAATGGAAATGTCCCATCAGCAGATGAATGGATGAACCCAACCTGGTCCATCCATACAATGGAATATTACTGAGGCATAAAGAGAAGTGAAGTCCTGATGCATGCCACAACATGGATGAACCTTGAAAACATTATGTTGAGTGAAATAAGTCGGTCACGAAAGGACAAATATTGTATGACCTCACTTATATGAAACGGGGAAATATAAAGACACCACAGATTATTAGGGGAGGGGGAGTTTTTGTTTAGGAGGCATTGAGTTTCTGTTGATAGTAGTGGAATAAATTTGGAAAAGAATAGTGATAATGGCTGTACAACATGAAGAAACTAATCAGAGTCACTGAATTTTATATGTAGAAATGGTTGACTTGGCCAATGTTTTGGCGTGTATGTTTTCACCACAATAAAAAATATTATCAATTCAATGTGTAATCAGTGCAAAACAATTATTAATGAGATATTTTATATTTCTCTTTTGTTATATTAAGCCTTCAAAACCCCATACATATATAAACTTACAGCACATCTCAATTCAGACACTGTAATTGCATTGGTGAAAATGGAATATGGTTCTACCAAATCAACAAAGTTGTGTTTAATGGATAAGTATTTTACACTGCTTCAGTCTTTTAATTTAAATCAATTTAAATTAGATAAAATTAGGACTTCTGTTCTTCAGTGCCACTGGCTGCATTTCAAATGCTCAATAGCCACATGTGGGTGGTGGTCCTATTGAACTGAACGGCGCTCAAATGTAATCTCCATGTAGGCTTGTATTTTTATCTGTCTTATTCCCTGCTGTACTCTCGATGCCTACAACAGTGCCTGGAATATAGCAGGCACTCCATAAAGACTTGTTGAATGAATAAAATGAGGCCATGCATATAAAGCATTCAACACGATGGTTGTCATATAGTAAATACCCAGTAAATGGGTGCTAACAAGAAATAGAGGAAGAAGTTAAGTAAATTTCTTGAAACCTGAGTTTTCCTTGACCTGATTGGGGCTTGGGAAGTTCAAGGACTATTCTTTGTCATTAGTGACAGCCAGTTACCTTCCTTCTGCTCTGATCAGGGAGGTTTAGCTGTGATTCTCTCTTACAGAGTGGTAGGTACTTTTGATTCCAGAACCCCTTGAACCTGGCCATGGTAGGGCTTGTCAACACAACTTCCCAATACTGGAGGTGCTTTCTCTGTTAGCTTGGGCTCACTCTACCCATGCTCATGAAAATGGCAGAGATTAGCGCCCCCCTAGATGCAGTTCTCAACAAATGACTGAAAAGAGATGGTGTATCAATACCCCAACTCTCTCACTCCTCAGTTAGCATAACTCTGAAGTATGTGTTCTACACTGACTCCCAGAGCTCCAGTTGCCCACAGAGGTGACTGCTTGATAATGCTGTCTGTATTGGTCTCTATCTTTTTCCTGTTTCACTTGCTTAGCCCCCACTGGTGTTTCCTGGAATCACCTTCCAAGCAAGCTACTTGTACTTGAGTCCTTATCTTAGAGTCTTTTTCTAAGCTATGGAGAAGAAGACTTCACAGTTCACTGGACACAGTCAGGTTCACAGGGGAGGACCATGAATCCTGGTACCTTGGGTGTAAGACCCACGAGGACAGCAAAGCTAGACAGATGGAAGCACTGGCATGTGGTGTGAGAATTGTTGCTGCCCATATGAGAGCAGCCCTCTGTCGACCAGCTGCCCCCCTCCTTTGATGCTTCCCAGTAGACACAGAGATGTTTTGTTTCTGTACCAACAGCCTGGAAAAAGAATAGTATAGGAGTGAGTCTCTTTCTGGTTTTATTATTTGAACTTTATAGGTTAATCACAGATGCACTGGGTTGGATCCTGGATTAGGAAAATCCCACTATCTTGAGTACTTGTGGGTAAGAGTTTCACAACACCACCTGTGCTGTGGGGTTTATTATTCTTTATTTCTGCCCTTCTCTGCTCATCTCAGTGCCCTGGGGATTGACCCTTATGAACTGCTTCACTCAGGCTCCTTGTTGGCTGGCTGGATTCCAGTGGGTTCTACCAATGAGAAACTGTGATGGGAGATCACTGAACAAGAGATGAGAGAGGTCAGGTATTTCCTTCCAGGCTATTTGCATCTCTCCACCCCTCCTCTGTCATTTTTTTCATACAGTGGTGGCTTGTGTGTTGCTATGATGCTGGAAGCTATTCCATCTGCACTTCAAAGGCCAGCAGGGTTATCCATGGTAGACAGGTTTCAGTGGAGCTTCCAGATTAAGACATACTGGGAAGAAACATCTGCCAATCTACTTCTGAAAATTGTTGTTGTTAGTTGCCATTGAGGCAACCCCATGAAAAACAGAATAAAACATTGCTTGGTCCTGTGCCATCTTAATGATCTTTGCAATGTTTGAGCCCTTTTTTTGTGGATATTGTGTCAATGCTTCTCATTGACGATTTCCCTTAGCCAATGAAAACTCTGTGGATCACAAAATATTTTCGGAGACTTCGACTCAATTACTTTGGATGCATCATCAGGAAAGATCAATCACTGAAAAAGGACGTAGTGTTTGGTAGAGTGCCAACAAAAGTGAGGGAAACCCTCAGTGAGATGAATTGACACAGTGGCCACAACAATGAATTCAAACATACTAATGATCATGACGGTGGTGCAGGACCCGGCAACATTTTGCTCTATTATACGTAAGGTCACCATGAGTAGGAGGTGACTCGATGGCAACTACCATTTCCATCTCCACTTGGACAATCCCTCCTCCATCCCTCCAGCTTTCACTGGGCTCAGTAATTCTAGTTCCTCCATTGCCTTTTTAGGCTTAAATGTGATCATGACCCCCCCCCCGCCCCCGTGGCAGTCTCTGGGTGCCTCAACATCCCTTGTCAGTTCTCTTAACTTTGAACCATCAGAGTTGGATTCAGTTCCCTATCAGAACCCTGAGAATACACCCGCATCCCTTTAAGGCACCTTGGATGGACTCCCTGGGTGGTGCAAACACTTAACATGCTAAGCTGCTAACTGAAAGGTTGGAGGTTCAAGTCTACCCAGAGGCAAATGGGAAAAAAAGTCTGATGATCTACTTCCTCAAAATCAGGCATTGACAACCCTATGGAGCACAGTTCTACTCTGACACATATGGGGTTGCCATGACTCAGAAATGACTCAATGGCAACTTGTACTTGTTTTCTGGGATAGAACCAGTCCTTGGTTTTGCTCACCTGAGTATGTTTAAAGGTCAGGAAGACAGGTTTGGACAGGTAAATTTTTTTCTTCAAACCAATGGTGCCACTTACGACATGAGAGTTCAGTTGCACTTCCTGCAATCGTTTTCTGTCATTAAAAAAGGTTCCATTGAGAATATCTCCAAGAGCTCGATAGGTGATCAGTGCAACAGCCCTTTGATCTGTGACCATAGAAGAGGAATAATTTTAAAGGGGTTTCAGTTTGGGGAGTGTCTTACCTAAGGGTCGTAATGATAGTGAGCACAGTCAGCAGCTGCTCAGTCATTATTGAGCAAAACCTGCTCCTCCTGTCCATTATCATCAAGACCTTGGGTGATAGATAGTGCTGCTGGGTGGCTCAATTAGCACCTACTCAGCCATTATCAAACAGAACCTGCCCCTTCCTCTGCAACCCTGAATGCTGCATATTGCTCAGTTCCTGCCTTAAACTAGTCAAACCCAGTTTACTAGCCTCAAAAGTGTCCCAAAGTAATCTAAGCCTCATTAAGACCTAACTCAATATTAAGATCTCTGCCCCGGGTGAGAATTATCCGCCATTTTCTGTATATACTAAGGGGGAAAAAAAGCAATTTTCTTAGTGCGCCTGTGTGCCATGATAATTTATGTAGTCCATGATGTTCTTGTGAAGGACGCTATAAAAGCTTACGCCTCCCTTTGTTCCGGGAGCTTGATTTGAGGTATACACCTCTTTGCTCCTTGCCTGCGCCCTTGCAATGAGCGCTCTTCCTCCCTCCTCACCTCGGTGTGTCTTTATTGAGGAAAAGCTGAACCGGGCAGGACCTGCTTCAAGTAACAAAGAGGCAAACCTAATGTAGACTCTAAATTGCCTTTGGAAACCCCTTGAATTGCCCGTGTAATACGCAGCATGTGGTTTTGTGTGCTATATGATGCACTGCACATTATACGAGGTATCTATGCAGAACATGTAAATCAGTGTGCTGTGAAAATATTAATTCTTAAACATCAAAATCAGAGTTTTTTGCCTTCAGAGGAGCAGGTGGACTTCAGATGGAATAAGGAAACCACACATTCCCGTCTTCCCTCTCAGTTCACACTGAGGATCTGAGTAGGAAAGTATGCAGGATAGCCTATTCCATTTAATTTGTTCTTTCTCTCAGTCTATCTCCCTCCCTCTCCCAGCCCCCGCTTTAATCGGCTGCCCATCTCTTCGTCTGACTTCCTGTCACTCTATCCCTGTCTCTATGACCCCCACTTCCTGTCTCTCATCTCCGGCTGTGTGGCCCTTTAATGCTCCTCTATCCCTCTGTCTCTATGACCCCCACTTCCCGTCCCTTTCTGTCTGAAGACTGTACAGCTTGAAAATCCAAGAATATTTTACAATCTGGCTCTTTATAGAAAAAGCGTATAAACCTGTAGGATACAGGAAAACCGAGTGAAGATAAAACAATTCTTAAAAGACTCAGCCATAAAAAGAAATGAAGTCCTGATGCATGCCGCAACCTGGATGAACCTTGAAAACATCATGCTGAGGGAAATAAGTCCATCACAAAGAGATAAGTACTGTAAAATCCCACATATGAAATAAGCAAATATATAGAAATAGATTATTAGTGGTTACCAGGCGTTGTAACAACGATTGTGAGGATAGCGTGGGACTGGGCAGTTTCATTCTGTTGTACATATGAGTGGGAACCGACTCCACGGGCACCTGACAACAACAATATCTATTAATTCTTAAACATCAAAGTCAGAGTTTTTTGCCTTCAGAGGAGCACAACTGGTGTGGTAGGTTGGGGGGCAGGGGGAGTTTTTACTTAGGGGGCAGTGAGCTGCTGTTAATGTTGGTGGAATGATTTGGAGAAAGATAGAATGAGTGCACAACTTGGAGGATGTAGCCAGTGTCACTGAATTATACATGCAGAAATTGTTGTCGTGGCGTATGTTTTGTTATGTATATATTTTTACCACAATAAAAGATTTTTTTTTTCAAAAAAGATACAGAACATATAGAAAAGTTTTAGAATAAACACTCAGGAGAAAAAGATCACAATGTTTGGATAAGAGTTCTTTTTAAATATCATAAGTAAATATCTGAATCTGGAGGAAATTTAAAAAAAAGATATCAAGAAATGATAGCAGTCATTATTATGTAAAAACCATAACAGCCTGGAAAAGCTTCTAATGCTGTAGAAGATCAGTTAAAAATTGTTTGCATTTCTGGAATGAAAAACAGAATTATTATTTCAGTTATAGCAGCACTAGATAATTAAGACAGCCCCCCACCCCTTGTCCCAGTCACCTGGAACTGAGACACGGTGCCTAGAATTTGAGGTCAAGAGAATACATCTTAAACACAGTACCTCTCGTGGTTTCTTTGAAAGCATGGGTACAGTCAATATCCATTGTGTTGTTTCCAGCTTCCAAAATTGTTTTCTTGCTTGTCTCACAGCACCTCTTGGTTTCATAGACTGTAAACATAAAGAAAGTGAGTCCTGCTTTGCTTGCTTCTCATGCCTAAGACTTGTTGAAGAACTCTTTACTTTGGAAGATACACTATTGGTGATTTCATCTCCTGCATTCTCCAAAGTCAAGGTAGACCAGATGGCACTCTCCTCCTCCAACTTACATCTCTGGCTGCTGAGTATGAAGCCGCCAAAATGGCCTAAGCAACACACACTGGCCACACAAGCCAAGAAGACAGGAGATGGTCATGCTTCCCAGAGCTGGCACTAGAGTGGACAAGCTAAACCTTTACTACAGGAGACTTAAAGGGGGAAAAAAATTAAGAATGTACATTGGTGTGCCCTCTGAGAGGAGAACTTAATTTTTTTAAGCAACCATTTAAAGGTTTTCCAAGGATTAGTCAACTGGGAGTAGACTCTCTGTATTTGGGAAAGATCCCTTGAGTAAACGCTCTTGACCATATAAACAGAAGATCTGACAAAAGATCATAAAAGTTTTTGGTACACAGAGTTTGTCTCTGGAGAAGCAAGAAAAATATAGTCTAGGGGCTATAGCAGAGGCTATTCACTGTCCCCAATCCACTCACCCCTTCTTTCTTTGGGACTCATAGCGACCCTATAGGACAGAGTAAAAATGCCCTATAGGGCTTCCAAGGAGTGGCTGGCAGATTCGAACAACTGACCTTTTGGTTAGTAGCCAAGCTCTTAACCACTGTGCCACAAGGGCTCCTTCTTTGGAAACAGACCTCTCAGATTTAAGCTGAGCACAAGTCATTTCCCAGGCTCCTTTGCAGCTAGGTGGAGCCATATAACTATTTGCAGGCCAAAGGAGGGGTGATCAGAAGTGGTGTGTGCTAAAGTGAATGGACATGCCTTCTACTTGTCTTTCACCTTCCCACTGGCTGCTAAGAGGATGTGGAATGAGAACTGCTATCTTGGATTACAGATGGAAGTTGAACACCGAGGATGGCAAGGCTTGGAGCTGCCATGAAACTGCCACATCAGCCCTTGACTCCTTATCTTCAAACTGTTAAAGAAATAACTCTCTCTCAGTGTAAGTCATAGTTATTTCAGTCTTTGATATACCACCAGATCCTGTATCCTAATACAGAAACTAAGTTCACGTGGAACATTCATCAACACAGACCATAAAACAAGCCTTAATAAATTCAAAAGCATTGAAATTTTAGAGTATGTTCTCAGACCACAATGGAATTAAATAAGAAATCATTAACAAAAAAGATAACCAGAAAACTAGAACCTCCCTAAATGTTGGAAATTAAATAACACACTTCTAAATAACCCATAAAGAGCCCTGGTGGCAAAAAGGTTAAGTGCTCAGCTGCAAACCAAAAGGTTGGTGGTTCAAACCCACTCAGCAGCTCTGTGGGAGAAAGACCTGGCAATCTGCTTCCATAAAGATTACAGCCATGAAAACTCATGGGGCAGTTCTACTCTGTCACATGGGGTCACTGTAAGTCAGAATTGACTCAATGGCACCCAGCAACAACAACAAATAACCAGTGAGACAAAAGATAAACCACAAATAAAAATTTTAAACATTTCAACTGAATGATAATGAAAGCCCAACATAAGAAAATTTGCAGAATCTAGCCAAAGCAGTGCTCAGAGGAAAATGTATAGCTCTAATTTATAGCTAAATTTATATCTCTAAATGCACGTTATAGAAGAAGAAATATTTTGAAATCAGTGCTCTAATGTACCAAGTCAAGAAGCTAGAAAACAAAAAGCAAATTAAACCTGAAGAAAGTAGAAGAAAGGAAATAATAAAGAGCAGAAATCAATGTAAAAAGAAAGCTGATTAAGGATTTAAAAAAAAAAAAAAATCCAGAAGTTGGTTCTTTGAAATGCCTAACAGATACCAGGCTAAGGAGATTTCTGAAAACAAGGGGGAATTAGAGCTCTCCCTCTACTTCCTTTTTGAGGTTTAAAATTTTTAGAACAACTTGGGTGGATGAGGAAGGTCCTCACTCAGGTTTACTGGAATGAAAGAACCCCAGGGACCCCAGTGGAGGAAAGGGGAGTCTAAGTAGGGTCCAGATATCTACACTAGGTTTAGATTGTCCTAGTACCATACGTAACTGAGTCTAAGGGATCTTTCTGATCCAACCACGGAAGCATGGTGGGTACGTTCCTGAGTACTTTCCACCATACCAAGGGAAGTTGGAAAGAGGAAGACAGCTGGTTTGTTCCCTTGAGTTTATATTTCGAAAACAGAGCCCTACTCATGTAGAACGTCCATGTGGAAAATCTTTAATGCTTGGATCTAAAATATTTCTTCATTCGTAGACCCCGACTATGCCAGGAACCAGATCCCTTTATGGGCGCCATTTAAGGAGTCTGCTCAGCGTTTCTTACCTATATCAAGCACAGAATTTTCATGCCTTCCTGGAGAAGCAAATGTCTGTTTCCATACGGTCAATTCCACCTCCTGAATTAGTTGGGTAGCCCTTTGTGCAATGTCCTTTTTGGTCCCATTACTCCATGTATTTTTCTTTAAAAGAAATAAAGCTAATTAGGTAGAAACTTAAAGCGAGAACATGGGTAACCGTGGTTGGGTGAGCCCAGAAGGTACTGCTATGGATCACAAAGGTCCCATCTTGTGCATGGGGTCAGGGGCTGACCAGATGGCTGCTAACAACAACAGGTTCTGTGCTATTAGCTTGATATGTGGCTTGTCATTTATCCCTCACAGCCCTGTGAAAGGTCTACCATTAGCTGCATTTGATTTATAAGACCATGAAGGTTTAGAGGTTGAAATCTTTGGAACCTACAAGTAGTGCCTTATGGAGAAAGATAGGGGATGGGAGGTGGTGGGGGTGAGGCTTTAGGTATTTGATGCAGGTCTTTGAATGACAGCTGAAGCATTTTAACCCTATTGCAGGTGTTTTTAATCTGGACACTCAACATTTGGAACTGGATAATTCTTAGCTGTGGGGGGTGCTGCCCTGTGCATTGTAAGATGTTGAGTAGCATCCCTGGACTCCGTAGTGCGTGTGCGTGCGTGTGCGCACACACAGACACACAGACAGACACACACACAGACAGACACACACACACCCCAGTGGTGACGACCAAAAATGTCTGCAGACATTACCAAATGCCCCCTGGGGTGAGGGACAAATTCACCTGCAATTGAAACTGCTCTATCCCGAAAGTCATAGGGACCAAGGTAGTGTTAGAACAGGAGAATGACATGGTGAGACTGACCAACTGTATCCAAGTCCGGGCTGCGTCCTCACTTATACAAACATCCACCAGTGGCTGGGTCTTGTTACCGTTGTCCTCTGAGAAATAAAAATAGCTATTAGAATGGAATATGGGAGAGAACATGCCACTGCTCACAGCCCTTCTTCCAATCACCCTTGAGTTGAGTCTTCCCTTGGTGCTTCCACTACCACCACTACCAGTTGCCATGAAGTTGACCCTGATTTATGGTGACCCCATGGATTCCATAGTGTTTCCAATGGCTGAGTCTTCAGAAGTAGATCACCAAGACTTTCTTCCAAGGCACCTCTTGGTGGATTCGAACCTCCAACCTTTTGGTGAAAAGCTGAATATGTTAACTGTTTGCACCACCCAGGGACTCCGTGCTTCGACAGCCCATCCTAATTCCTCTCTAAAAGTAAAAAAGAAAGAAACTCATTGCTGTCAAGTTGATTCCAACTCATGGCAACCCCATGTGACAGAGTAGAACTGCTCCATAAGGTTTTCTTTGCTCTAGTCTTAGTGGAAGCAGATCACCAGTCCTTTCTTCCATGGCACTGCTGGGTAGGTTTGAACCTCCAACCTATAGGTTAGTAGTTAAGTGAAAACCACTTGTGCTACCCAGGGATCTTAATTTCCCTCTAAGGAGTCCAAAATGTCTCTTACAGTAGAATTTGAAAAGGGATTTAGGATGGGGCCTTCAGTTCAAGACCTCAGTCAACAATATTTATTGAGAGCCTCCTAAAAGCCAGGTATGATGCAAGGCCTTGTGAACATAGGTTAGTAAGAGGGACAAAGAATGTCCCCTTGTGGAGCTGGCAGTCCACAGTTAAATTGTCGTTACATGTTCTTGTAAAAAACAGTAGCATAGTGCGCTTACGAAAATACCTCATAGTGGAGGGGAGGTGCAGTTGGCAAAAAAAAAGAACTGGAGCATTATTTGCATAAAAATACAGTAATTAAAGGATTGCACAGGTACAGTGTGTGTCTTAGTTATCTAGTGCTGCTATAACAGAAGTACTACAATCGGATAGCTTTAACAAACAGAAATTTATTCTTTCACAGTTCAGGAGGCTAGAAGTCTGAATTCAGGGTGCCAGCTCCAGAAGAAGGATTTCTCTCTCTGTTGACCCTGGGGGAAGGTGCTTGTTATCAGTCTTCCCCTGGTCTAGGAGCTTCTCAGTGCAGGGTGCCCAGGTCCAAATGACAAGCTCTGTGCCTGACTTTTCTTTCTTGGTGGTGTGAGGTCCCTCTCCTTTCCACTTGCTTCTCTATCCTTTTATCTCTTGTCAGATATAAGTTGATGCAGGCCACAGCCCAGGAAAACTCCCCTTAGATTGGATCAGGAAAACTGTGACTCGAGTAAGGGTGTTACATCTCACTTTAATCCTCTTTAAGATAACCTAATCGTGCCTCATTAACCACAGGCAGAGATTGGAATTTACAACACATAGGAAAATCACATCACAAAATGGAGGACAACCACACAATATGAAATATGGGAATCATGGCCTAGCCAAGGTGACACATATTTTGGGGGGACACAGTTCAATCCATGACAACATGCTTTTAAGAAAGAGGATGGAGTGATTTAGGAGTAAATAGCAGAGGACCCCAACACATCAGGGGTTCAGGGAAGCCTTCCCTAAGGAAGGAAATGGTGTTAATTGAGACAATAATACAGAAGCAGTAATAATACATGCAGTTGTCTATACATCACTGTACATAAAGTGCCTCCATATATACTCTCTCATTTAAGGGACCCCAGACGGTTCTAGAACATATTTGTGTTACATAACAGCTAATGTTTATGGAGCCTTTCTAGGTGCCTATCTCTGCACTAAGCATTTTAGCTACATTCATAGTCATCAAATGAGCCCTAGTGATACAGTGGTTAAGCTCTCAGCTGCTAACTGAAAGGTGGGCAGGCAGTTAAAACCCACCAGTGGTTCCGACTCATAGCGACCCTATGTACAACAGAACAAAACACTGCCTGGTCCTGTGCCATCCTCACAACTGTTGCTGTGTTTGAGCCCATCATTGCAGCCACTGTGTTGACCCATCTTGTTGAGGGTCTTCCTCTCTTTTGCTAACCCTGTACGTTACCAGGCATGATGTCCTTCTCCAGGGACTGGTACCTCCTGACAACATGTCCAAAGTATGTGAGATGAAGTCTCGCCATCCTAGCTTCTAAGGTGCAGTGGGGCTTATAAAGAGAAGTTGTTGTTGATAGGTGCTGTCAAGTCGGTTCCGACTCATTGTGACCCTATGTACAACAGAACAAAACACTGCCCGGTCCTGCACTATCCTCACAATCACTGTTACACTTGAGCCCATTGTTGCAGTCACTGTGTCAGTCCATCTCATTGAGGGTACTTCTCTTTTTCTCTGACCTTCTATTTTATCAAGAATGATGTCCTTCAGGGACTGGTCTCTCCTTAAAACATGTCCAAAGTTTGTGAGACGAAGTCTCACCATCCTTGCTTCTAATGAGCATTCTGGCTGTACTTCTTTTATTGTACTTTAGATGAAGGTTTACAGAACAAACTAGCTTCTCAACTAAACAGTTAGTACATATATTGTTTTATGACATTGGTTAACAACCCCATGATATGTCAGTACTGTCCCTTTTCAACCTTGGGTTCCCTGTTACCAGCTTTCCTGTCCCCTCCTGCCTTCTAATCCTTGCCCCTGGGCTGGTGTGCCCGTTTAGTCTTGTTTTGTCCTATGAGTCTCTCTAATCTTTGGCTAAAAGGTGAACGTCCGGAGTGACTTCATTACTGGGCTAAAAGGGGTGCCCAGGGGCCACACTCTCGGGGTTTCTCCAGTCTCTGTCAGGCCAGTAAGTCTGGTTGTACTGGACTGAGTCTGGTGGAGGCCATGGTAGTTGTGGTCTGTTGGTCCTTTGGACTAATCTTTCCCTTGTATCTTTAGTTTTCATCATTTTCCCTTGCTCCTGAAGGGGTGAGACCAATGGAGTATTGTAGGTGGCCGCTCACAGGCTTTTAAGAACCCAGACGCTACTCACCAAAGTAGAATGTAGAACTTTTTCTTTATCAACTATGTTATGCCAGCTGAGCTAGATGTTCCCTGAGACCATGGTTCCCACAACCCTTATGACTGTACTTCTTCCAAGACAGATTTATTCATTCTTCTGGCAGTTCATGTATATTCAATATTCTTCACCAACATCATAATTCAAAGGCATCAATTCTTCTCGGTCTTTCTTATTCATTGTCCAGCTTTCCCATGCATATGAAGCTATAGAAAATACCATGGGCTTGGGTTAGGCACACCTTAGTCTTCAAAGTGACATCTTTGCTTTTTAACACTTTAGAGAGAACTTTTGCAGCAGATTTGCCCAATGCAATCCATCATTTGATATCTTGACTGCTGCTTCCATGGGTGTAGATTGTGGATCCAAGTAAAATGAAATCTTTGACAACTTCAATCTTTTCTCCGTTAATCATGATGTTGCTTATTGGTACAGCTGTGAGAATTTTTGTTTTCTTTATTATGAGGTGTAATTCACGCTGAAGGCTGTGTTCTTTGATCTTCATCAGTAAGTGCTTCAAGTCCTCTTCACTTCCAGCAAGCGAGGTAGTGTCATCTGCATATTACAGGTTGTTAATGAGTCTTCCTCCAATCCTGATGCCCTGATCTTCTTCAAATAGTCCACATTCTTGAATTACTTGCTCAGCATACAGATTGAATAAGTATGGTGAAAAGGTTACAACCCTGACGCACACCTTTCCTGATTTTAAACCACGCAGTATCCCCTTGTTCTGTTTGAACGACTGCCTCTTGGTCTAGGTAGAGGTTCCTCATGAGCACAATTAAGTGTTCTGAAATTTCCATTCTTCTCGGTGTTATCCATAATTTGTAATGATTGCAGTGTTGTATGCCTTTGCATAGTAAATAAAACACAGTTAAACATCTTTCTGGTATTCTCTGCCTTCAGCCAAGATAACAATGATATCCCTGGTTCCACATTGTCTTTTGAATCGGACTTGAATTTCTGGCAGTTCCCTGTGGATGCACTGCTGTAACCGCTTTTGAATGATCTTCAGCAAAATTTTACTTGTGTGTGATATTAATTATATTGTTCGATAATTTCCATGTTCTGTTGGATCTCCTTTGTTTGGAATGGGTATAAATATGGATCTCTTCCAGTTGGTTGGCCTGGTAACTGTCTTCCAAATTTCTTGGCATAGATGAGTGAGCACTTCCAGTGCTACATCCCTTTCTTGAAACATCTCAATTGGTATTCTGTCAATTCCTGGAGCCTTGTTTTTCACTAATGCCTTCAGTTCAGCTTGGACCTCTTCCTTCAGTACCACAGGTTCTTGATCATAGGCCATCTCCTAAAATGGTTGAATATTGATTAATTCTTTTTAGTAGAGTGACTCTGTGTATTGTTTCCATCTTCTTTTGATGCATCCTGGGTTGTTCAATATTTTGCCCTTTGAACCCTTCCATACTGCAATTCAAGGCTTGAATTTCCTCTTCAATTCTTTCAGCTTGAGAAATGCTGAATGTGTTCTTCCCTTTTGGTTTTCTAACTCTAGGTCTTTTCACATTTCATTATAATACTGTACTTTGTCTTCTTGAGCTGCCCTTTCAAATTTTCTGTTCAGCACTTTTACTTCATCGTTTCTTCCTTTCACTTTACTTACTCTATGTTCAAGAGCAAGTTTCAGAGTCTCTTCTGACATCCATTTTCATCTTTTCTTTCTTGTCTTTTTAATGACCTCTTGCTTTCTTCTTGTATGATGTCCTTGATGTCATTCCACAAGTCATCTGGTCTTTGGTCATTAGTGTTCAATGCGCCAAATCTATTCTTGAGATAGTTTCTGAATTCAGGTGGGATGTACTCAAACTTGTACTTTGGTTCTCGTGGACTTGTTCTAATTTTCTTCAACTTCAGCTTTTCCTTGCATAAGAACAATTGGTGGTCTGTTCCACAGTTGGCCCCTGGCATTGTTCTGACTGATGATATTGAGCTTTTCCATCATCTCTTTCCCCAGATGTAGTTGATTTGATTCCTATGTATTCCATCTGGTGAGGTCCATGTGTATAG